ATTGATGCTGTTTGTGAAGTATGAATAAGTCAGTAAGTAATTTATTCCATTGAAATATCATTGATGTGTTATAGAAAAGTGATTTATCTTTTTATAAATGACAAAAGGCATATCTGCCTCATTTTCGCTGTGGTATCGTGATACTACTCAGAACCATGATATTTTCATTGGTATCGTACAGTGGGCCCCAATTTTGGTACCATGACAACACTAATCTGGAGAAGGTTCATCTGCAAAAACTAATGAAAAACTAAACAACGATATTCGGTATTCGGTACTCGGTATTCGGCCAAGCGTTTAATATTATTCGGCTTCGGCTTCAGCCACAAATTTTCATTTCGGTGCATCCCTAATTGTAAGGCGCTTTTGTACTGGTATGGATGAGGAGTGTGCCAGACAAGCGCATCTTCTAACTCTGCTCAGTGCAATGCACAAGCAAAGTCCAGATGCACATGTTTGCCCAGCTGTGCTACACGTATGCAAAAGTTTTTTAAATAATAAGGTTAGGGCAAAAATGCCTGTGTGTTTGATAGTACTGAGCATACGACTGGATACGTGAGACTTGCATTGTGCTGCAAGAGTTGTGTGAGTTTGTACACAGATGTTTTGATGTAGTTTTGCTGTTGTTAAACGCAGACCCCCTTTTAATTTCAATATCAGTTTTATTTATAAAGTCCAATGTTACAAATCACAATTTGCCTCAGAGGTCTTTACAGCATACGTCATCCCTCTGTCCTTTGGACCCTCACAGCAGATAAGGAAAAACTCCTCAAAAAAACCCTTTAATGGGAGGAAAAGAATGGTAGAAACCTCATGAAGAGCTACTGAGGAGGGATCCCTCTTCCAGGACGGACAGACGTGCAATAGGTGACGTACAGAACAGATCAGCATAACACATTTGCAGTAATCCATTTAACAAAATGAGACATAAAGAGAGAGAGCCAGAGAGAGATGGATTCTTCTTACACCTTAGAGGCATGCGAGAAAAACAGAGAAAAGTTTTCCTCATAAAATCAATGAGTTCCTGATATACAGATGATCATTGTGCGGGTGAAGTATTCCTTTAAGTATTTTTGTGACTTTGTTTCTTAATGTAATAGTTTGTTTTAGAGCAGTATATCGGTCAGAAGATGATCAAGTTTTGTACTGATATTCATGGCTCCTAGAGGATGATTCTTGGTGATGTTAGTGGCCACCCGAACCTTTGTGTCACTCCTAGTGATGGGCAAATATGAACGAAGTTAGGGTTAGCCTGTCAAACATCCCAGTGCTCATGAATCCGTACTGTGTTGTAACGTAGTGTAGCAAGGGCACCGAGTGAACAAGCAGGCATCGATTAAATCAGACCCCTGCCAGCTGAGGTTAATGATGCATTTATGTGCTTCTTAGATGTTCGCGCTTCCAACTTCAGTGTGTTCATTATCTTTAAGTTGTAATATAGAAACAGTCACAAGGCTGTGGAGGTAAACAAGACGTCTGCTACTCCAGTTATACTCAAAGATTTAAAGAACAGGGGCATCAGGGAAAATTCATGCTTCTCACAAGGTTAATCTTTTTTTAATGACTTCCTGTTCCTATTATTCCGTCGTTGATGGGTTTCTGTTCAATGCATGACCTCTCTATACTGTTTTGGGGAATTATGGAAATTCCCTCCTAATGTTGGCTGTCGTCACGCCCAGAGTAAAGGACTGTTTCTCTGGTGTTTGTTTTTATCGATCCTGAATTGCTTCATCTCATCCCCAGGATGTTCAGGTTGTAACGTGTCATTTCCTCCCAGCTTCAGACATGATTTGGACTTTTCAGAATCTCAGCTGTCATCTCATTTTGGTGTTAAGAGCCCAATTCTTCCCGCCATCTACTTTGCTAGGGATTTCACTGGAGGCAGTCGTGCGAGTTGTGGGCTCATGTGGGCCTTCACATCCACATGTTGATGCTTCTTTTGTTGTCGTTTCCGTAGCAAATAGAGGTTTTTATAGCTTTGCTTTCAATTAATGTTACTGTGTAGACAGAAGGGACCTTGTTCTAAAAATCTTCCTGTAGAGGAACAAGGCAATAAAATACTGAATAAAAAGTTAAGAGCTGTGTGAGACAATTTCCCCAGTATCATAGAAGTTAATTGTAAAAATAACTGGTGGTTCTTTGTGCCTTCGCATGATGAGGTTATCTGTTACGTCCTCAGATGTATCTCATATCTATCTGTGCTTGTGTGTTTGACATTAGTTCGTCCAAAAGAAGACAAAAACACCAGTGGGGCATAAATAGCATCAGGAGACGGAAGGTGAAGCTTCAGTCTGCTGCAGCTCTGTTTCATTTCCTACAGCTGTGTGAAAATTCACACAGCTGAATTTTCTTCCCGCTGCCTATATTTGCACATTATCAGAGGGAAAGAGATAAGTCGAGCGCCGTCAGGAAACTGCACAACCTCTCATACAGCCCACTTACATCAGTTATTCATTTCTTTGACCTTGTGTATTGAAGACTGTAATGTGATGATGTGTGTGTGCGAGGCCAGTAGCAACCTTCATGGCTTATTACGAGCTGTTTTCTAATTTTGTCTCAGCTGCCATCTTGATAAAAGCGTGACATCAGTATGTAAGAGTGGAAGAAGTCCAGTTTGTCTCGGCTGTTTCTGAGGGGACAGCAGATGATCGCTCTGTTGTTTTCTTCTGTCTTTCAGATTTATCATCGACAAACTTGTGACAGCTCAGATCAACACACACGAGGGAAACCAGCGAGCAAAGAACTGACGTGACAGTTTTGATTTTGAGGCCTCTCGACATTTTTCTGCTCTTCAGTCCTTTTTACTCTAAGAGTCCATCCTCAGCCCCCGACGTGAACCAACCATGTCCGGGAAGGAGCGCAGCCCCCGCCACCGGCCGTGGTCGGTCTACCGGGCCAACACGTTTGATCTCTCAGCTGAGATGATGGGGCTGGCTCTCTTGGGTAACTAAGTAACCGCTACCATGGTAACCTGTTTACTTCATTGATGATGAAATAGCAGGGCGTTAAAAAGGAGCTCCCCCTCCTCTTTTCTTTTTATCCTTCAGGCAACAGTCAGGATCCAGACGAGCCTGTGCTGGAGTTCAGCGTGGGTACGTTCATTATACACACTGCTGCATGAGGATCAGACTGTGTGTGTGCTCCTTGTATTGACAGAGCCCGCTTCATTTACACCAGCAGTTGATCATTAACAAATCTGAACAATGAATTGATTCTAGTAACCACAGTGACTATAGGCAGCTGTTGTCTGTGTATCCAAAGCCTCATTCATATGTTGTAGCTTCGTCATCTTAATTGTTTGACACACGAAAACACATTTATGACCCACAATGCTGCACCAACTTCATTATGATGAACATGGGCACTGTAGTTTATTTTGAGTCAGTCCCACAACCACTGTGCCGCAGTAAAAACTTAATAGCACCCCAAATGTGTATTAAGCCTGCAGCTGAAATTAGCTCCTAACAGCTGCACTTTTTGCTGTGGTTTGACTCACGTTTACTGAAAACTACAGTTCCCAGCTGTTTTAGGAAATTACAGAGCTTTAAAAAAGAGAAACAATATGTTTGTGCCAGGTTTTAAAGGGACAGTTCATCCCCAAAACAAAAGTACATATTTTTCCTCTTACTGGTGGTGCTGCTTATAAATCTAGATTATTTTGATGTGAGTTTCGAAGTGTTGGAGATATCAGCCATTGAGATGTCTGCATTTTCTCGATCAGTGGCTCCCAACTGGTGGGTCGTAGGTCCTCTCTGAATGGACCGAAAGTGACTCAAAAACGTGTCAGGTTTGTAATAAACACACTTTATTTTTTAGTAGAGAGCTTTTATTTTGAAGTGCTATTTCCTGCTGTAGAGTGAGTGACAAATGGACTGCGACTTAACAGAGACAGCAACTAGCTTGACGACATGGCCAAAAGCAAGTGTGGTGTGAAATGTATTAAACTGTGCAGACCTTGAACTGTTGACTAAGGAGAAGCCTGGCCTGTGGCTGGACCACTTCAGAAGGAAGTGTGCATCTACTCCTGAACAGGAGGCTTGTATTCATGACAACACGAGATATTAATGGTGTTCTGCTTGACTGAGCATTAATGTTTGCTAGCTACACCGTTGGTGAGTGTACTTCAATAGACAGAAAATAGTTCCTAGACGAAACTGCTCACAACAAGGTCTGTGAAATATCTTGAGTAACTGGGTCATGATTTCTGGAAAGAGACATTCATGATAATAGTATTATTACATTGTATTTATAGGGCACTTTTCATGGTACTGACAGACGCTGTACATTAGTTAAAAATAGAATGTGGTTAAATACAAACATCATTCACACATTAAAAACTGTTTTGAAAAGATAAGTTTGTGGTCTCAAATGTGTTTCGGAAGAGAGTTTTCGAGGGTCCAGGCTTTGTCACCCCAGGTCCGGTGCTTGGTCCTGAGTAGTGGAGTCAGGAGGCTGGCCTCATAAGAGAGGCGACTGCAGGAAGTAGTGTGGCAGTGGAGCAGGTCGGTGAGGTAGGAGGGGGCCTGTTTAGAAGGATTGCTGTTGAGTTTTGCAATGTCTTTTTTTTTTTCTGCACCACAAGCCGAGTGCCACCTAGTTCCATTATATTTAAGAGAAGGCAGGCATCTATACACCCAGTATCTCCAACACTCTGTAACTCACACCAAAACAATCTAGATTGATGAACAGCTCTATAGGTAAGAGGAAAATAATGTATTCTCCTTATGTATGGGTGAACTGTCCTTTTAAATATTTATGTTTTTAGTAGCTCAAATAGCCTACACATCACAGATAAAGTAGGGAAGCTGGAAAGTATTGAGTAACGGACAAATGCATTGTTGGTTTTTGTCGTATATTAGTTCAGGAAGGACCCAAATGCAAAGCAGCAGGCAGGTTTAAAGTTTAACAAAAAGCAAAAAACATCTAGAACAAGCAAGTAACAGAAAGTCCAAAAGAAAGAAGAGCCAAAACTAAACTGAAAACCAGCGGGATAATATGATGATCGGCTAATATTTGGTGAACAAAGGGAAGCAATTAACAGCTAAAAAGGCAGTTTTTCCCCTAGGAGTTGGTGGAGCCCAAAAACAGAGCTAAAAGAGACCGAATATTGGACTTACATTCACCAGAGACACAGCTCCAAATGAATTATAATGCTGCCTCTCATTGGGCAAAAACATTGATACAGCTTTAAAGGATGAGGGATGATGTGTCTTATCACTGATTGGCTCGAGGCGACTGCATCATTTGTGTGGACTGACTTGTTTAATTTTTATCCCTCAACCTGACAGCCTGCTGCTCATCAAGCACTGACAACTCAAAAATACTGTATTACATTCATCCCATGGCCGAGGATTAGTGACCATCCCACTATTAAATCCCAGCGTCTGTAATCTCCCCCTGTGCTCATATGTTGCTGCAGCCTGCAGCGAGCTGGTCACTCCCTCTCTGGACCGTAAGCCAACCAGCTTCGTCGCCGTCAGCTGCACCACTCCACCCCAGGCCTTCTGGACCAAGCACGCTCAAACTGAAATCATAGAGGTACGCTACTGTTCGCTTGCCCTTGCTTCCTGTCTGCTGTTGGAGACCTTGAAATGATCTCACCTCTCTCTGTCCTCAGGGCACCAGTAACCCTATCTTCCTGAGCAGCGTGGCGTTCTTTCAGGACTCTCTGATCACTCAGCAGACTCAGGTCAAGCTTTCTGTCTATGATGTAAAGGACCGCACACAGGGCACGGTGAGCCCTGAGAATCATTTTCTCTTCAAATTTCCTGTTAGGAAGTAGATAAAGTTTGTACCTACTAAATCCTTTATCATTTTCCTTTATGTGACAGATGTACATGCTTGGTTCGTCCATGTTCTCTGTGAAAGAGCTGCTGCAGGACAAACACCACAGACTGCACCTGACTCTCAGGTAACAGGCAGGCACACAATAAGCGCAGACACAAAATGATAGCCACTGCTTGATTTGGGTTCTGGGATATTTAATTTACTCGATGTCACCGTGGGTCAGGTCAGCGGAGAACGAGCGTGTGGGGAACATCACCGTCATCGCCTGGCAGATAGAGGAGAAGCGCGAGCAGAGAGCTCCTGTTGCAAGGTTACAGAGAGGAGACACTGTTAATGGAAGGGTGAGTGATTGGAGAAAGTTCTGATGAGTCAGGACAGAAAGGTTTAGGTTTGCAAAAGACCTGAAATAATTGGAGGATTTATCGATTGTAAGGTGACAGAAAAATAATCAGCAACTATTTAAATCATTGATTCACTGTTTAAAGGTCCAATGTGTAAGATTTGGGGAGGTTTAGTGGCATCTAGTGGTGAGGATTGCAGATTGCAACCAGCTCAAACTAACTCCAGGTTAGAATGCCTTCAGTGTTCATTGTTCAGGAGGTTTTTACCAGGAGCTGAATTATCCACAGAGATCCCTTTCTTCCTCTCCAAAACAAACGACCCAGTGATTTAAACCGGTAAAAACACTGAATAAAGCTGTTTTACATTACAGTCATAATTTCTCCAATGCTCGGAGACGGGCCGCCAGTCCAGCACCTACTAATCTGTGCTCATCTTTTTTCTCTGATAACTTAAGATCCAGACACTCAGGAAGTTTTTATCGTGAGCTAAATTATCCACAGAGGTCTCTTCCTCTCCAAAATGAACGGACCTGGTGATTTAAAACAGTAAAACCACTGATAAAGCAGTTTTACCCTAAAAAAAAATCGGTGTTTTTCCAAAACTGTCATCACAGAGGGGCTGCGATTTATGGTGGCCGATGTGAAAATGCGAATGGCTGAGCATGGTCTCACTCCGAAGTCGTTGAAATCCGGCGCTTGGCCAGTGACTTGTGGCGTCAGAAACCAACAAAAAAGGTGACCTTTAACATCAGCATGACACACAGCTGGTTGCCGCTATAGTTTAACGGTCCCCGGCGGCGTCAGGGGGAAAGGCGGTGGGACAAGGATGAAAGTTAAGGCGACAAAAGTCCAAATGGGGCAGGCAGGAGGGGTGGTGGATGGGTCCAACAAACACCAACTTTCACCTGAGTGAGAGGTGTTTGCGTCCAAACCCTGTTCTTTTTTCCTATACCTAACCACTTGCATTTGTTGCCTAAACCCAACCATGTGTGTTTGTTATTGAAGGAAAAAACTGTCAATTTGCGGTGTTGTACCGATGTAGTTTATTTTGAAAGAGACTGTATGTAAACATTAAATTAGTGTATTTTGAAAGAAGACAATGCATGTAACAGGCAGAACTTGACACGGTGTCCCAGGACGTCAACAACCAACGCACCCAGGATACCTTGCACGTCGTATGTGGACGTGGAAAGTCCATGACCCAAACATCGATATGTGAAGAGGTCAGAGTGAGAATGTGTTGAATGGCTTTATCTAGAGTCAGTATTTGGTTTGTCCGTCCTAGGCTGATATAGAAACATGGCAGTGCAACATGCCGATTTCTGTAGACGAGGAATGACTCCCTATATAGACATAAACAGCTCATTCTAAGGCAACGAAAACACAACAATTCTTACTTTCAGGTGATTATACACTAAAGAAAATATATATGTTATATTCCATTTATGCCAATATATCGCCTTATATCCCACACACTGGACCTTTAAGTTCTTTTTCTTACAAAATACTAAATATTCTTTTGTTCCAGCTTCTCAGTTGTAAAGATTTGTCACTTTTTTGTCGTCTTATGTGTTAAAAAAAAATATGTTTCAGTTTTTGACTGTTGGTTGAATAAAACAAGCAATTATCAGACATCATCTCGGGCCTATGAAAATGTGATGTTCATGTTTTATTAAGTTTTCCAGGCCAAACAGTTATCAAGAAATCAGGGAAATAATAGGCTGATTAACTGAAGGGTCCTAATTAATATAATAGTTACAGCCCTAGAAAATGTAGCTCATATTGTTCTGCCTGGCTAAGTGTCTTCACCCTCAGCCTGTTTCTGATTATACTGTTTCAATAACAGGTCACAGATCATTGAGTGAGGAAAGACAGACACAGGTTTTCATTAGGCAAACATTAATGTGATTTTTGTGTTTGTGTATGTTAGATGGTTCTCCCTGTTGACGAAAGCCTGACTGAATCCATGGGTATTAGATCCAAGTCTTCATCTCTGTGTAAAGACCCTCTGCTAAAGGCTGGTGAGTATATGAACTAATTATAAACCTCCTGTATGACCATGTGAGATTATAGTAACAGGTGACATCATGGTGTCGCTAATGTTGATTGTATGTTTCAATGTGCTTCAGTTTTCGGGGGCGTCATGTCGCGAACGTACCGGTTCCCCACCACGGATGGCAACCACCTTCGGATCCTGGAGCAGATGGCGGAGAGCGCGCTCTCCCTGCATATTCCTCGACAGTTTGTGAAGCTGCTGCTGGAGGAAGACGCTGTCAGGTAACGTCTCAGAGTTGTCCGATCTCTTTTTTACAGTGTACAGCTCGGCCTTTTTCTCACAGACCTGTGCAAATGAGATGCAAATAGTTTAACCAGAGTGTGTTGTTCTCTTCTCAGAATAGTTTTAAGCAGCCTGAGGAGATAAAGCTATCCACTCACTGTTTAGATAAATTAATCTTGCAAACCATCAGATTAATATTTCAGTCTAATACAGTGCACATTATCCTTTGCAGACATTAAACTGAAATGTGTGACATATCATGAACTGTAATATTCCTCTGTGCTCTATTATCATATCATCATCATGCGGCCGAAGAAGCATCATCATTACAACTCCCTCTGCTGCTGCTCTTACTAATGCTTGCTTGTAATGTGGGTGGTTTGAGGAGCTGGACATGCCCAGCTGCAGACTTTAATTGAACAAGCTGAACGAACTTCAAGCTGTGAGATCATGAGCGTCTCGGCTGGATGTCTTGATCGTAAACGCTCTCATGTGATGTGTAGGGTGTGTGAGCTGGAGGAGCTGGGTGAGCTGTCCGCGTGCTGGGAGAACCTCAGGAGGCAGATCATCACGCAGTATCAGACCATCATCCTCACCTACCAGGAGACCATAAGTGACCTGCACGAATACAAAGGTTAGAAACACAAGCTATCTGTAACATAAAGGGGCAGACCACCAATTTTACAAGTCAAAGTCTATCAGTCACTGGAGGTACTAAAGAGCCTGGGAGAGCTTTGTCAAGTCAGAGAAAATCACCAGGGTGTCTCAGCTTGGGCACTGATTTACACTTTTATAACAGAAAGAAAACTTTTATGGTTACAAGAGGACATTTTAGAGAGTGACGCTCAAACTCAAACCATCAATACTCGACTGAGAACATACATCACAGTGGTGAAAACGAACAAATTTGATCCGAATATTCCTGACCAACACTATAACTGCAACACACATCATGGGACCCTTTACCGCTGCTTATAGGAGTGTGTTGAGATCAACAAATTCTGGCGGTCGATGCTGTAGTTTGAATCTCGGATGCCCTTATCCCCAGTATCTTTAGGTCCTAGGCTCTGCTTGTTAGGCATGTTTCCAGACAGTTTTATCCTGCCTAGGAAAGAGAAAATGGTGGTTGAATACATTTGCAATAGTCGAGGCGTTCAGTTGCGCTCTGGGCTCTGACGAATGTGCATTGCCTGTCTCTCGGCCGATGGTTGAAGGATTTAACAGCGAGCTTGGCTCTTGAAAAACTCACCTATATAGTGAGAAATAGGGCTTCAAATTTATTGATATTTGGGAAATGTTTTTTTTTTATAATTAATTTTTATATAATGCCATTTGTTCTAACTTTGGGGGCGAGTATATGTTTTGTGTAACTTGTTAAATGTTTAAAATCTATAAACATATGTTTATGTTTATATGAGCCTAGAACCAGGCAGGAACATACAGTGGCCGACAAGGGCAAATGTGCAACAATGGGCCAAAATATTTCCATTAGGAGAAATGTGCTGCAGCTTCAGAAACAATCCCTCATCAAAACAACATCTTTCTGCAGCACATTTCCTCATTTGCAGCACGTGTCTGTTGTTGTATTTGTGTTGGATTTTTATACGTAAAGAGATAGGGTAAGGAACTCAGATGTCTGGAGGGAGCTCAGAGTAAAGTCGCTGCTCCTTCGCATTGAAAGGGGTCAGTTGAGGTGGTTTGGGCATCTGATCAGGATCCTCCTGGGCGCCTCCTGTTAGAGGTGTTCTGGGCAAGTCCAACTGGTAGGAGGTCCCGGGGCAGACCCAGAACATGCTGGAGGGATTACATTTCTCATCTGGCCTGGGAATGCCTTGGGGTCCTCCAGGAGGAGCTGGAAAGTGTTGCTGAGGAGAGGGACGTCTGGGGTGCTTTGCTTGGCTTGCTGCCCTGTGACCTGCCCCCGGACAAGCGGCTGAAAATAGAAAAATGGATGTTTGTATGGGTTTTTGAATTGACATTGTTTCTAAAGCTTTGGCATGTTTCTCCTAATGGGAATGTTTTGGTCCGTTGGAGCACGTTTGCCCATGTCGGCCAGCGCAGGACGAGTCTCACAAGGTGATGGTTTTAAGTTTCATTATAGAGAGTGTACAATCCAGTATTTCTGGAGTTTGACCCTGTTAGGCACTGAAACGTGTACCTCTGCCTCTGCTGCATCGTCCCTCTCAGTTTCACAATTTTATGAAAGTGCATTAACAAATTGTTGGATGCCCCTTTAAGTAAAAATAAATGTTGCACAAAATAACCAGTAAAATATCCTATATATTTCTATTTCTATGTGAAACATCACATCATGACTTATCTATGCCCCATTACAGCATATACAGAAACAGTTAACCTCTTTCCTCTAATCTGCTCCCTCTCAGGTCCGTCATTTAAATCTAGTACGTTGAAAGCTGAGAGGAAGTTGGAGTTTATTCCTACTAACCTGCATATCCAGAGGATGAGAGTACAGGGAGAGACTGGCTATGGTAGGTTTATGTATATATATTGTGTGTTTGCATCCCTTCATTTGTTCAAGGTTTTAATGATATTGTTTGTACAGTATCTTATTTCATCCTCTTTCTTACTGCCCTCTGATCAGACCGGACATACGATGTTGTGACCATCGGTGCTCCTGCTGCACATCATCAAGGCTTTAAAGGCTGTGGCCTCCGAAAACTGCTGCACAAGCTGGAAGAAGCCAGGAAACAGTAAGTAGAGCAGAAATGCATGAGCTTCATGGTGGTGTTTGATAATGAGGGATTAATTAACCTTTGTTGTTTGTGTGATTTTATTTTCTGCCTCACTCAATCAGCACTTACGAGGAGGAAAGGTGAGATTACCTGTAGTATGTTATAAGTTTTTTGTGTTTATTTGAATTTGCTGTGTTTGCCATACTCATCTTCTCTGTCTGTCTCTCACACACACATCAACACACACCCAAAGCTCTGCAGGCTCTGGTTCTAAAGTGATGGCGTACCAGCCTCAGGATGTTGTGAAAGCAAAGGAGCTGATTGGTCAAATAAACACTCTGAAGACACAAGTGTGTTACTACACCGAACGTCTGTCTCGGGCCGCCAAGGAGCGCTCAGCCAACGCTCTGGAGAGAACCCTGGCCATCCTAACAGAGAAGGTGAGAGAGCGCTCAGAGGAACTGAAGGGTCCTAGTGTAGAGCTGTGTTATAGTTTCCTCACTCTTTCACTCTGCCTCAGCTTCTGACTTCCACTGTTTCCTCGATCTCTTGAGTTTTATCTCAGCGCTTATGGTCTGGATAGATACGATCAGTTCATGCAAGCTAAAATAGTCATTAAATTAAATTTTTGCAATCGAATACATTTAACCTAGAACCTAACGTATCACAACACAGACAGTTTCTCCCATATTTTTAATGTCATGTTTTATGAACTTTAAAGAGCATATTATGCCCCAAGTCACTGTTAATTTAACATCCACAGTCTAACCACATTTTTACCCACCTCTGTCTCCGTCTCCTCCCTCAGACTCGTCAGTTGGTGACCGTGTGCGACTCCAAGCTGCTGTCCACAGCCATCCTCGCCCTGGCAGCCGCCCGCCCAGAGTTGACTCAGCGAAGCACCCCATCCCCGTCCTCCTCCTCCCTCTCACCCTCATCACGTTCCCCATCACGCTCCCCCTCCCGCCACCCGACCTCCCCATCTCGTGCTGCCACCTCGCCCTCTCGCCATGTGGCTCCACCGGAGGGCAGCGAAGGGAGTAAAAACAAGCGTGCTTCCTTGCAGGCAGATTTGCACGAGGAGGAGTGGGTAAGAGGATTCCCATCAACATTTTTGTCTTTTTGTCTTTTGTCTTGTCTTTTGTCTTGTCTTTTGTCTTGCCTTCTGTGGTTCCTTTTTTTTATGTTAACTCTGTCTGTAATGTGTGTGTGTGTGTGTGTGTGTGTGTGTGTGTGCAGGAGAAGGTTTGGCTAAATGTTGATAAGAGCCTGGAGTGTGTGATCCAGAGGGTGGACCGGCTGCTGCATCGGGACAAAATCCAGAGCGACAGCAGCTCTGAGGACGTCTTCCTGCTCGCCAACGAGGAGCCGAGCAGCACTAAGAAAGGTACACACACACACACACACACACACACACACACAGCTGTATGGTGTGTGACTGAGGTACAGTCATGCACCAGTTTGTCTGACTTCTGAGCACAAAGATCAGAGTTGATATGAATGAGTCACTCTCAGTGGGTTTCCATAGTAACCGCGATGCTCCCTGGAAACGCCCTGAGCATAAAAACAAGGTTTTACCATCGTCATCATGATGTCATCCTCTGTTATCCTCACCATCCTCACATCCACCACATAACCTTCGACTAACATCATCATCATTCTCTCAGCAGACTCCTGTTTGCCTCTCACATCACATCTGTAGGGTCATAATTCATAATCATGTTAAGTCTGTCAGTGTTGCTGTTATAAATTGAACTGAAATTCTGCCCTTATCTAAACAAACCTTCTCTCCCTCATAGATATCAGCCCAGAGGTAGAAAAGGTGGAAAAGACGTCTCCAGGTGAGAGCAATAATTCCTTAACAAACCATCCTGCATGTGCCAGAAGGGAAATTAAAGCCATATAGTCACTGTGATATATAAATAGCTTTTATTAGCCTTTATTATTTCATAGCCTTTATTTGCTGGAAGTAGGCCAACAATAGCTTCATAAACTAGAGAATGCCAATGAAAAAGTCTCTGAAATCATAAAGAGAGCCAGCCAACCCGTGTGCACAGGATACAGCGATGAGTTAGTGGCTTACAGTTGATAATAAATCTCAATGCACTATGATACACTGAGTTCAGAGCATGCAAACACTGGGTGGGTGAGTGCATTCATAAATAATACATCCTCCCAATCAAGCACAGTCAAGAATGTGGCAGAGACCAGTCTTTTTTGGCCAAGGAAGAGAAGCAGTCTCTGTTTCTAAAATAAAAACCCAGTTTCAGCTTCAGCTTTTTCACAAGTCGTTCAATGCGTGGCTTAAAAGAAAGACAATCAGCTAACACAGTGTGCAGATGTTTATAAGATGAAATTGTTTGTAGTAGTATTATGTCATGTATTATTTATGTGTAAAATGAATTTGTTTACAACATAGAAACAAAGTTTAAGAATAAGATAAATTTTAAGCAACTTCTTTAAAAAAAAATCAGAAGATTTCAAGCCAAAATTTAAAATATTTTGTGAATTTCCAAGGATTATTTGCAATTTAATTTGCAATATTGTGAACTGAGGATATTAATTTAAAAACCACAATGAACAAATAAAGTTTTCTCAGTCTTGGGGTCATAAGTCCTGCTTGATATGCAGATAAGGTCATATGACATTCCTAGGACTAAAATATTGATACTTTATTTCTGATATTCAGCATTCAACATTTTGAAATGTATTGTACTGTAGCATGTCAGCCACTTAAATGGATTCACAAAATGTAAAGTTACCTTAAAGGGTTGAGAAACCCTCAACTGCTCTGACCATTAAAGTAACATGCATATAATTAATAGTATAAGGACATTAAAGGCAGCACGGTGGTGCAGTCTCACAACAAGAGGGTTCCTGGTTCAAACCCAGGGTGGGGGAGCCCTTTTGTGCGTTGAGAGTTTGCATATTCTCCCCGTGTCAGTGTGGGTTTTCTCCGGGTACTCCAGCTTCCTCCCACAGTCCAAAGACATGCAGGTTAATTGGTGACTCTAAATTGTCCGTAGGTGTGAATGTGAGTGTGAATGGTTGTCTGTCTCTATGTGTCAGCCCTGTGATAGTCTGGTGACCTGTCCAGGGTGTAGCCTGCCTCTCAGGCTCCAGCCCCCCCCCGTGACCCTCAAGAGGATAAGCAGTTACAATTAGTACTATTGGATTTCATTTAGTTAAACATGTCAAAGATGCACCTTTTCTATTCAGCCTTTAATAGATCAGTGTCTGCCTCTTCCACGTCTGTACAGGTGTGTATTAATTGCTGTGTGCTGTGTCCACAGGTGAATGGAGCGAGGCTTTGTACCCACTCCTCACCACTCTGACGGACTGTGCGTCTCTAATGAGTGACAAAGCCAAGAAGGCCATGGTGTTCCTGCTGATGCAGGACAGCGCCCCCACCATCGCCATGAGCCTCACCCTGCAGTATCGCCGCGACGTCGTCTTCTGCCAGACGGTCCGTCAACTTCTACTCCCCCCTTCTAACTTCTGCCTTTTAAACACATTGTTGCATTAAAAGCATGACCGTTATCCCTGTACTGATATGAGCTTTGCTGCTTACAGCTGACGGCACTGATCTGCGGCTTCGTCATCAAGCTGAGGAACTCTCTCTGTGACTCGGGCTTCCTCAGGCAGCTACACACCATCGGCTTACTGGTGCAGTATGAGGGCCTGCTCAGCACCTATGGTAACCTGAGTGTGAGGATGTGTGTGTGGACATTTATGCATGTTATAAATGTAAGTGAGTGCACACCTCCACCAAGGCTGTTAAAGACATGTTTAATCTAGATCAGCATCAAATTATACATGTGTTGTGGCCATTGAATGTTGGACCTAAAGGCAAACACAACCAGGAAACTGAATGGTTTGAGGCAGTTCATTTTAGTTTGAAGAAGTGGAGCTAAAGGCAGATTAGTAGAAGGCAGAGCAGTCCAAATCAGGAGGCAGAAGACGAGGCTGGATGTGGCAGGTTATAGTTGAGGAATTGATGTCCAAAAAGTACAAAAAGACAGAGACAAAAAAAATAGAAGTCAGCCTAGATGTTTTACCGCAGACGAGACTTAACGTTCTGGCAGAGTCTGGCTGTCTGAGCCGGGGTTTTGCGCTGCAGTGGCTTGACTGTAGATGAGATTCAGGTGTGCAGGCTCAGCAGCTGCTGACAGGAGGATTGGCAGGAGGAGGGAACCAGAAGGAAATGCCCAGCAAACACAGACAGAGACACAATGATAACAAACATGAGACACTAGGCTGGGGAAACGTCATTCAGACAGCAGGATATTTTACTGGAAATACAGCAAACACTATTCAGAATTCAGACGATGGGACTAAGCATAACATTTATATGGATACCTGTTCACGTAGGAATCAGTGGAAATGAAATAGCTGACATGTGTGCAAAGGAGGCAACGAGAATTAATCATATTGACATACCAGTTCCTTTAAGTAAAACAGAAATGAATACGAAAATTAAGCACAAGTTAAAAGGAAGGTGGCAAAAGCAGTGGGAGGAAGACAGAACGGGCAGATGGTTTTGTAGAACTCAAAGAAAGGTAGGTGTGATTAGAAGGACAGTGAGATCCTGCAGAGATGAAACTATAATATCAAGACTACGATTCAGTTATTCAGGACTTAATAGCACACTGTTTGAAATAAAGGGACAGAACTCAGGTAACTGTGACTCTTGTGACCAAGAGGAAGCCATAGAGCACGTTGTAGTTTACAGTGCAAAATATGAGGTTGAGAGAAGGTATCTTACATCGAACCTTCAAGAAATGAAGTTTTTATTTAAGAGATATTTTACAGACAAGTTCAAGTGAGAGATGTCAAACATACAGTATATATAAATGTAACGTCCTTGGCTGAGGTAACAATGTCTGAGATGACTCCTTGTTCCCTAAAGGTGAGGAGCTGGCCATGTTGGAGGACATGAGCATCGGAGTGATGGACCTGAGAAATGTCACCTTTAAAGTCACCCAGGCAACTACGGGCTTTGCCCCAGACATGCTGCCGGTGATCACGGGAAACAGAAGCGGCTTCAATGTCAGGGTCCCGATGCCCGGGGTGATGTTCGACACTCTGCCGCGAGAGATCCAGAACGGGATGCTGCTGCGCGTACAGCCTGTCCTGTTCAACGTGGGGATCAACGAACAGCAGACGCTGGCTGAGAAGTGAGTCGCTGAGGTTAGAGGATAGGGCAGGTGGAGAGGTTCAGGATGGAAAGAAAACTGTAATATCTTACTCATGTGTCCAGGTTTGGAGACACGTCACTACAAGAGGTGATCAACATGGAGAGCATGACTCGCCTCAGCTCGTACTACGACCAATTTAAAGAAGTCCTGCCAGAAGACTGTGAGTTTATATTCATACAAAACACTCTTATCTTCTTGCTCTCATATTTAACTCACCTCATCATTCCTCCTCTGTTCTCTCCTCAGGCCTGCCTCGCTCCCGCAGCACCACCAGTCTGCCCGAGCTGCTTAAACAGCTGAGCCACAGCGTGAACGCCAAGAAAAGCAAGAACGTGGAGATTCTGTGGCAAGCAGCCGAGGTAGACTTTGCTTCTCATGTCTTCTCTATGCAAATTTAAAAGCTCTGTCTTCCTCCTTTAATCTCTTTCCCCTGAACCATGAAGGCATGTCGCCGCCTGAATGGAGTGCGTTTCACCAGCTGTAAGAGCGCCAAGGACCGCACGGCCATGTCCCTGACCCTGGAGCAGTGTCAGATCCTGCAGCAGGAGCACGCCCTCGCCCCACAGGTCTTCTACCAGGCCTTGGACTGTATGCGCAGGTCAGCTGATGATGATGAAAGCCATACATTTCACAGCTCATTTAGAAAAGTAAATAACGCATAGCTTCTGTTTCTTCACAGCGAGGGCTGCAGGAGAGAGAACACCATGAAGAATGTGGGATGTCGTAAATACGCCTTTAACTCTCTCCAGCTCAAGGCCTTCCCCAAACAATACCGCCCTCCAGAGGGGACGTACGGGAAAGTTGAGACCTAAGCGGACTCCTCGAGGCGGAGGAACACCAAAAGACTGACGGGGATAATGATGATAGCACCACACGAAAATACCAAACACAAACTGGAACAACAGCCCTTTGTTTTGTGCTTAGTCACTGTTAAGATGATTAATGTCCAAGTGCCAGTGCTACTGTAGATTGTTTTATAGCAGTTTCCCCCTCTCCTCCAGTAGTACTAGACTCACACTTTTCACGGCCACATCACAGCCAGAAACAGTAACAGTGGCTTTCTGTGTGACATCGTAGCCAGTGTGCAGACAACACTGTTGGCGCCTGTACCAGTCGTAGCATCAGGAAGCGTTCAGCTGAGTCATTTTAACTCGTGTCCCTAGAAATAAGATATGCAGCCATTAGAAAGATGGTGTGGGACTCATGTTTGTGCTTCTCCCTAATGCTTTTATTTTGTTTTATCAGTTTGTCTGTTAAAGATAAGAAGGTATTCTGTTTCTTTTCTTATTATCAACAAATCCCATGCAAAGACCAAAACCAGCAATGACCTTATCAGATGAGTACTGGCTACTGATTCTGACGGTGCAGAGCTCCAGTGTCCTCCAAAAACTATAGACCAAATCAGAGTGACATCGCTCTAACAACAACAGTCACCCAGTCAGACAACCGGCAGTTGAGTTCAGTTGTGGAGATAGGTGAATTTAATTATTAAAAATGATCTCTGTTGTCATTTTCAGCCATAGCTGCAACGTTTAAAGATGATATTGTTCGACACTGTAGCCAAACCTGTCTGACTTTCCTGCTGTGCTTTTTTTATGTACTGTGTTGCTTGGCAAGCATCTTCCATAAATCAAATTAACCAGGACGGAAGTTAAACAACAAACTACTATGGACGGGGGCTGTGGCAAAATATATTTTAGCCATATAAAAGATCCGCCCTAAAAAATCAGTATCCATTTAAGTGTACGCAATATTTGAAAAATATTTCCACTGCTTTACCTTAGAACCAGAAACTCCTGTGTTTTGCAAAGTAAAATTACTGCTTTTGTCAATGTTCTAAATATAGCGTACACTTAAACTGATATTGATTTCTTTTTTATAGGTAGCTAAAAGCTATCCAGTTGAGGCAGGGTTTGTTTTGTTTACTGAGCCCTTTAAAAAACTGTGTGCGCAACATATCCTTATCCAACGGTTCGTATGATACCTAACAAATAACCGCACCATGAATGACATTACGTACGTAATGTAAAGTTACATACCTGATGTAAAGTTGCATGGGTTGGGTTTAGGAAAAGAAAAGATGATGGACCTTAAAATAACTCATTTCTGCCCCGTTTCAACCAAACACTTTCAGTATGGTACCTTTGGAACCAAAAGTAACCCTTCAGACATGGTACCTAGACCCTAGGGTTTCCACCGCAAACAGTGCTCTTAAATGTGGGCGGGGTTGTTGTCACTCACTGCTCCATCCAGCACTCACTGTATTTCCTCTTTTATCAGTCTGCACCTCGTTTATCGTCAACAGAATGAGGCTGCACGCTAACATTTTCTGAACAAAATAAAACAGGCTGCAGTGAGAGTCTATCTGCATGGGATATTTAAAAATAGTGAGTTTGTGCATTTAGTCCTTCTCAGGCAAGCTCAGGGGTTTAGTGTTGCCATAGCCCACAGGAAGGATGCTCCATGATGCTTTTTTTCATTTTATAGGTACCCCAACAGAGGGGGGACCAAAAATGGGGACAGTTGCGAACGGTTCCATTGGTACCATCCACAACTTTTCACAGTGGAAACGGGGGAAAAAAAGCATACTGAACTGAACTGTACCGTACTGCTCGGTGGAAATGGGGCTCTGGTTTCACACTATTCTGATCACCAGTCTCATGCGAGAAAGTCCTGTGTTTTTTGACCCATCCACCACCCCAACCTTTCTTATTATGCATAAGAGACTTCAAGTCTTTGTACTAATGAAGCTCAGACAGACAGTTGAAGACGAAGTCATTCACCCTTTGCAGACATGCTCACTCACTATCTCGAGGTGACATTGTCCGGGCACAGGGAAACACCACCTCTCTCACCCTGTCTCACTGCTCCTTATTTTAAATATGGTTCTTCCTCTGCCGTAGTTCTTTCTTGCTGCTGTCATGCGCGCCCTCCCCCTCCCCATCACCACCTAGACTTTACAGATTCATCAGCCTCATCCACCTCAGCAGCCTCAGAGTCATCAGCCACCACCACCAGTGTCTAGACTCCATGTGGGGATTTATCTTAGTGCTGCTCAGATGCCCCTCGATCACAAAATATCTCCCTCTGGTGTCCAAGCGCCAAAGACTTCTGTTAAATCTTATTCAGCACAAATCATATGTTAATCTGTACACTCATATTCTGTATTAAATATTATATTTGCTTCATTCTTCTGTCTCTCCTGATTGAACTACCATCTTTACTACAGTTTTTTGTGCGTTAGATTTATGTGTTCAGGAGCAACAAAGGGAGTAAGGAAGTCCAAAAGTCTTGAGAACCAATCAAAGCATTGCTGGTTTTTGGTCTTTTTATGGAATTCATTGACAATAAGAACAATGAAGAATAATTTCAGTCTCATCCTTTAAGGCTACGCTAGGTAAATTTCTGACCTAAAACACTGAGCAAAGCTGCTTTGAGAGCACACAGATCTTATTATATTGGTCAAGACAAGTTCAGCCTAACGGTAACAGCAGCAAAAAAGTATGTGATTGTCTGGAGATCACAAATTGTGACAACATCTTTTGAGAAATGAGTGTGTACCTTGCTGCCATTTGAAGCTGCCTACATGTTAAGTTGCCCAGTGTAGCTTTGATTAGACCAGTGGTTCCCAGCTGGTGGCTTGTGATCCAAAAGTGGGTCTCTGGTCCATTCTTAATGGACCACAAGTGACTCACAATCATGTCGAGTGTTTGTAAGAACACTGAATTTCTGGCATAGAGCTTTTATTTTGAAGTGCCGTTTCCTGCTGTAGAGTGAGTTACTAACCGACATGGCCAAACACAAGTATGACACTGAATATATTAAACTGTTTGGACCTTGAACTACTGAGTAAGGAGAAATCTGGACCCGGGGACTGGATCAGTTGGGAACCATTGGATTAAACGATCAGGTTGTCAAACAAATGTTTTTGCCTGTTAACATATTTCTCTGGACCTAAAGTCAAAGCACTTGTTTTGTATATTTTAGTGCTTTTAGCCTGTTGCCTGTTTCCCTCCCACTGTCTCTCCTTCTTCTCGTCTTACTTCTTGAAACACATAAATATTCACCATATCACTCTCTACAACAAGCACAGATCTTAAAGACACAACTATCTAACGACACTATCTGGCTTTTGTATCACAACGAGATGTCTGATGTGATTTCTGAGGTCCTTCTGATGCTTCGCTGGAGGCTTCAATGAGGAGCTAGTTCAGTTGTGGTGCATCACATTATTCTATAAACATATCTACAGATATTTAAGACATTTCTGCAGGTTATATGCAGTACTATAACGGTTCAATAGCCCTTCAGACTTGCATTTTTATTTACGACAAGTGTATGTTCTCAGTTTTACAGCACTCTTGAATTATGCAGAACTTTGTGATGGAAATTGAATAAAAGCTTCGTTAATTTAACCTGCATGAAGATTAAAAAAAACTGCTTTCTACTATTGCACTTGTATACTGTTGCAATCAAGAGTACCCATGAGCACTTGATGGATGTTTTTAGACTGAAGTGAAATAATGCATATTGCATTTTTCTACCGACCATCAACAGCACCTCTTCTGTTGTCAGTTTACCAGCTCCGGGCTCCGATGTACCTTATTGTACAAAACTTACAGAGACAGTGGATTTTATTTTGAAAATGTTATTTTGCTTACAGTTGTTTTTGTTGATACGGCTGTTGTTGCCAAATGTTGTTTTATCCATTGTTATTGAGTAAGTTAGGACCTTGTTCTGATCAGTTGTGCATGCACAGAGGTTGGACAGGGGAGTCTGGAAGACGCCTGCACCCCCACAGAGGTACCAAGTGAAACTCAATGATCAATAAAGGCTTGTCAATGCCAAATTAGTGCATTGGTGTATTATGGTTTGTGTACTGGGGCGGCGGTTTGCATTGTTGCCTCACAGCAAGAGGGTTCCTGGTTCAAACTCCAGGGTGGGGGAGCCCTTCTGTGCAGAATTATCATGTTCTCTGCGTGTCAGCATGGGTTTTCCCTGGGTAGCCTACTCCAGCTTCCTCCCACAGTCCAAAGACATGCAGGTTAATTGGTGACTCTAAGTTGCCCATAGGAGCGGTTAATGGTTGTCTGTCTCTATGTGTCAGCTAGTGTGGCAGCTGGGATAGGCTCCAGCCCTCCCGTGACCCCCAACCGGATAAGCAGTTATGGAAATGAATGAGTTCTTGCACAATTATCTCACCTTAAAGGCCCTTTTCAACCACAGCTATATGCTGCTGGGAACTACCTGAGGTCAACAGACTCTTATCAGAGTACAGAGGCTTCGGAGGTATCAGCAGAGTTCAGATGCGGTCTGTTTACACACACACATTCCGGTCACAAACTATGGCTCTGTTCAGGTCCCGTTAGGTCATGACTGTGTGACAGTGAGTCAGCTGCAGCTAAATCAAATTCAGCCATTGTTAATTTGATTATTTACACCTTCGCCTTTCTTGCTGCGACATGTAAAAAGTGATTAAAACTATTAAAGTCAGCTGTGTGGGTTCAGCATGAATGTGTCATGTGGACGGGTCCTTTATCAAAAAATACTTCTAATCCTGTCATCATTCAAGTTTACATTGTGTTCGCAAGCAATTCCCATATAAATAGGTTTAGTTAATTTACTTTATGTGTCAGTATGCACACACATTGCATGGTGGTGGTATGAAGTGTCATCATGGGCCTTTAGCCTTGAGACCCCTGAGTGGATTAAAGGAATGTCAGGAATCAGTTCAGGAAGGACACAGATGCAGAGCAGCAGACAGGTTTGAGGTTAAACAAAAAGCAAACTTTAATAAAGCTGATGTAAAACTTCTAGTACAGGCAGGTAACAAAGTCTAAATGACAGAAGAACCAAAACTAAAAAAGCAACCGGGATAATACAATGGACTCAGGATAAAAAAAAATCTAACTAAAACATCAGGCAGGAAACAGAGAGGGAACATGGGAATAAGCACAAGAAACGAACACAGATGAACTGACAAGGAACAAAGGGAAACACAAAGGTATATATAGACACAGAAAACTAATCACAAGAACGGGACACAGCTGGAGTAGGAGGACATGGGCAAAAGGAGGGAAATGGGGATTGGCTGACAACAAGGGTGTGGAGGGGAACACTAGGGTGGAACAAACAAGACTAATATAGAACAGGTGTGAAGGGAAGTTTCTGGGAACAGGGAAGGACTAACGAAACTGAAGGAAGACAGGAGTGATAGAAAACAGGTGGAAAGACTCACAAAGACAGGAAGTAAAACCAGACATGACACATGAGGAGAGAATCTACAAAATAAAACAGATTAAACAGGAATGAATGACAAAATAAGGAAGAACACAAACAGAAAATTCCAAAACGAAGTCTGGTACTATACTCACATGCCTGTCCCAGATGACACTGGGCAAGAGGTCGGGTACACCCTGGACAGGTCACCAGGCTATCACAGGGCTGACACATAGAGACAGACAACCATTCACACTCACATTCACACCTACGGACAATTTAGAGTCACCAATTAACCTGCATGTCTTTGGACTGTGGGAGGAAGCTGGAGCACCTGGAGGAAACCCACACTGACACTGGGAGAACGTGCAAACTCTGCACAGGAAGGCTCCACCTTAGTGTTCGAACCAGGAACCCTCTTGCAGTGAGGTGACAATGCTAAACACTGCACCACTGATCTGTGGTTAATAGCAGCAAAACTAAAACAAAACATATTTTTACAAACTCTCACACAACTCTTGCAGTATGATCCAAGTCTCATTTATCCAGTCGTACACTCCGTATTTCCCAAACACGTGCATTTTTGCCTTGAAGAAGGCAAACCCATCTCTGTCATGTTTATTTCCTTATTTGTAAATCACTCAGTAGCATTTATAACAAAATTATATGCTTATTCTATAACTGTAAATCAAATAAATCAGCAATAAAGTTTCTTAATTTCTTTGGTATTTCTTTTTATACAAATATGTAATGATGATTGCTGGGTAATATGTGTGTTGATGTTATCTAATGTCAAGTGTCTGATCATGTGACGAGACAATATGTGCACTACAGCGTGTGCCAGGGCCCGTCCTAACTACCTCACACCACAAATGGTCATTTTGTGGGTGAACTATTCATTTAATCCAGCCTGTTTCTAATGGATAGACCGTCTTGTCTGGTGATTCTGGTCAGCAAATCTTGTTTGGTTGTTTTAGTAAGGTTGTATTTTCATAACTTTATTTATTTCTTTATTTTTGAAGTACAAAAGTGCAAAGAAAATTATAAGAGAAAACATAAAAAAAAAACATGAAAAATAGTCTGGAACTATTAAAAATGACAAATAATTTTATTTTTTTTTTAAGATAAAAATGTAGACTACAAAATAAGATTTAAGTCGACTTGTTTATTTAGACCAAAAAAATAAAGGAAATATTCTGTGAAGCAGTCGCACTTTAGTTTCGCTTTAAGGCTGGTTACGGAAGTGACGTCACTTCCATAGATTGTTTACTATTGCCAGAGCATCACTTGCGCGCTCTGGAAATTTAGGAGCTCAAATTAAAGTTGCATGGTTTTCCAAAAACCCAGTAATGTGGTGATCTTACTGAAAAACGGTTACATATACCGAAAGTAGACCTTTATTGTATTAGCACCCCGTATTTATAATCTCTAATTACACAACATGTAATGTGGTCTACAGGCTGAGAGCTGCCTTTGTGACACCACACAGTCTGAACAGGTGCTGCTCGGCTCAGTTTCTGGTGCTCAGAGATGAAGACAGAGTGAGACCTCTCTGCGTTGCTCCTCTCTCTGATCTCCATGTGTCTGCATGGCGCGGATACTCCACTGCTTTTCAGCTACATCTCTCATCTACTGCGGGGCTGTGAGAAGGTGAGACGAGGCTACACTGTTAAGGCCCGAACATACTCAGGCGTACTATAAGCGGAACGGACTCCGCGAGGAATGTCCGCAGTCATTCGGGTTTCCATAGTCGAGCGCACTTCCGCGTTGTAGTTTCCTGTAAAAATGTCCGTGAAAAATCCCCGCGTATGTTCCGCCCGAGTATGTTCGGGCTTTAAAACATATCTTCAGTGTGTAGGTGTCAGTGTAAAGGCCTTTAGGAAGTAAACGCACACATATATAGAGCCTTGCTACATATTCATGTTTCTTTTTAAAGGCTGCCATGTTAGCTTGTTGTGTTTCTGCGCACTGAACAGATCAAACGAGGCGTGTGGGCGCGAAAGATATTTTCATGCTTCTGAATGCAGAAATGTGACTTGTAATTATATTTAACCACATCATGAGAAGTGTTTAATGTTCAGAAGTGTAGGAATGTAACACAGCACATAGTACATATTCTGCTCCTACATTACTTGGGTATCTCCATTAAATGCTACTTTATACATCTACCTCACTACATTTATGCCATAGCTTTAGTTAGTTACTTTGCAGTGAGGTTATAATACAACAGTTAGTTCCGGCCCTGCAATCTGATTGGTCGAGAGACAGTAAAACCGTGACGATATTGGAGTACAACATCACGGTTATTTCACTGTGTATGTATCACTCCGCCTCACAGCTGATTGCAGTCAACAATCAAATCAAAACTGACGGTTAGTGTCAGTTAGGTCAGCAGTTGCGTTGTAGGCTAATTAATTCATCCACTGTCAAACAGCCAAAAATATGGAGTTATTTCCTAAAATAAATTTTGAATTGAACTATGAATGGTCATCAGAGGAAGATGAGGGAGAGGAGAAGCTGAATCCATCTGAGCACACATCCAGGTTTGTCAGTGTTTCATCAGTGGAGCTCAATGACTTGGAGAAAAGCAACATACTGTCAGATCAGAAGGCAGAGTCGGCTGTGCCTGTGAAGCGACAGTCCACCATGCAGTCACCAGAGACTTTTTCACCGGCTGCACAATTAATGGAAACATGCAGATAAATGTGTATAAAGAGTAAGTGCCTGGCGCACCATGTCTGCGTTACATAGCAACGGTGACAGCGGAGTCCTGAGGGAACTATTTTTGTTGGCCGAAGACAAATAAAATGCTTAAATTATCTATTTTGTCCTCATTTTTCAACATTTCTTAATCAGCCTTGCTTATTTAACTGTTGAACTGTTGTATAAAAGCAATATCACACTCGAGCTCGTCTTCGGCACTCGGCCTGCGGCCTCGTGCCTACGACCGAGAGGCCGTTTACACGTTGCCGGCTATTTTCATAAACGGACATTTCACCGTCTCCGTTTTCAAAAAGATCTTCGTTTACACTTACCCGTGTATATATACACAAGAGCATGCCAAACCTGTAGGTGGCAGTGTAACGAGAAGCTCAAGCCTTCCATGTATCCATTGTCACCATAGCAACATAGGTCGCACTTTTTACACAGGCGCAAGTTCCGGCGCATACTGTGACGTGGGCTGCCTATAACTCCGTTTATCTGCGTTTATCTCAGTTTACATGCAAACACGCAACCGGAGTTTTCCAAAATCTCCACTCTGGCCGGAGTTTTTAGAAAGACTCGTTTTCAGAGGAGAAATCTCCGTTTGCGTGTAAACGAAGGGCACAAACGAAGGAAGATGTCTCCGTTTATCAAAATCACCGTGTACATGTAAACGGCCTCTGAATCACAGCCGTGACGATATCACAGTACAACATCATTCCCTCTCGTGTGATATTGCTTAATTATAAATCAACTAATGCATCATGATAGGTTATTACAAGTAACGCTACCCAGCAGCATGCTGTATAAAATAATGACATTCCACCTTTACCTAGATTCACAAGTCAGTCTTTAGATGCTTTGCTTAACTAAAGACTGATGACTTTCTCCCTGATTTTGTGTTTAGATGGGCGGATACAATTTGAGTTTAAAAAAAAAAACTCCCTACGTTGCAGAACCAACAGTAAATCTGCAGGGCGGTCCTTCGGTGGCTCGCTGAACTCCTTTGCTTGTAAACATAGTCCCACTAGAAACACGTGTAGCGGTACAAAATGGCTCAGCCGTGCTCGTAGAAAACGCCGTCAAAGTTCAGTGGATGTTTGTCGCGTTTGCGGCGACACATTCTCGCCAACTAAAAGAAATAAACATAATCTTTTACAAGGCCATGACTCATCCGTCCGGCCGGACTATAGAGGGAATCGCCTTGTATACAACAAGGCGATTCCCTTTATAGTCCGGGTAGAAAACCAGCAGAGCTTTTAGCTAGATATATAGCCTACGTATCACATTTTTCACATCACTGTATCACCGTTTGGACTAATCCGATGTTTGTAAAGTCTATAAACACAATGATTGAACAAACATTACTATTTCTGTGTGCACGTTTAGCTGGGCTAACCGTTAGCTGTTAGCCCTGTTAGCCGTTAGCGGTGTCTGTAATAGGTAATAACTCATTAAACGGTCCGTGAAAAAAATATCTTTTCCAGCGGATATCTTAGTTACAACATGATTGAGCTAGCAAAGCAGTTTTGTGTTGCTATGTGTGGTATTTATTCAGTTTTGGGAAATCACGATGTCTAGAAAGCATCAGTGGCTGCAGCTGACAGGGACAGCTAACACTAGCAGCAAAGCTAACATCAGGACGTCATCTGTTAAAAGCCTCCCGTTGTCGGATACGACATGAAACTACTCCAGTTAGCTCAATCATGTTGTAACTAAGACATCCGCTGGAAAAAATATTTCCTTCACGGATGAGCACACGTTTGATAAAACGGAGTTAAATCTCTCGGCATCCATTTTCAAGCTCTCTTTGTGTTTGTTTCCTTGCGGACGAGAAAAGGAGGAGCGCACATTTCCGAGAAGGCGTGTCCTTTTCAAAAATGCAAGAGGCGTTGCTTTGTTGCCGGCTGTTTTCGCCAGTGTGTTAAACACACTTTAGAAAGGAGTGTCCCCAGACTATCAGAAGGTGGAGATCTCTGATTGTCTGGTTGCGAGACTAACCTTTACCAGCTGCAACATTAAAGTTATTAATGCATCACTACTTTTAACGCAGTCATATAATATTTCTGATTCTTAAGTGGATCATTCTGCAAAATGAGTGTTTTTACTTTCACTACTTTAAGTATATTTTGATGTTAATACCTTTGCACTTAAAGAGACCGCACTGTAGTTAATTTTGAGTCAATCCCACACACACTGTGCTGCATTAAAAACTTAATAGTACCCCAAATATGTATTAAGTCTGCAGCTGAAAATAGCTCCAAGCAGTTGCACTTTTTTGTTCTGTTTGACACACATTTACTGAAAACTACAGTTCCCAGCTGTTTTAGGAAATTACAGAGCTTAAAAAAAGAAACAATATGTTTGTACCAGGTTTTAAAGGGACAAGACAATACACCCAAAAATGAAAAATTGCTATTTTTCCTCTTACATGTAGTGCTCTTTATCCATCTTGCCCAGGTAGGCTCAATGGTGCTAGGTGAGCTAGCAGTAGATGCACTCTTCCTTCTGTGCAGTGATGCAGTTTGCGGGTGTCGTTCAGGAGAAAGAAAATAGTTCCAACATGAAACTGCTCACAACAAGGTCTGTGGATTATCTTGAGTAACCAGGTCATGATTTCTGGAAAGAGACATTGCTGTTTTTCGAATGATTTTTTGGCGCTTTGAGCACCACAAGCTGAGTGCCATCTAGTTCCATTATATTCGAGAGAAGGCAGACATCTCAGCGGCCGATATCTCCAACATTCTGCAACTCACACCAAAACAATCTAGATCAGTGGTTCCCAACTGGTGGGTCACAGTCCAAAAGTGGGTTGGTTCTGAATGGACTGTATGTGACTCTCAAACTTGTCAAGTTTGTAAAAAACGCACTTTATTTTGAAGTACAGTGAATTTGCGGCACAGAGTTTTCATTTTGAAGTGCCGTTCCCTGCTGTGCGTTGAGTGACTAACGGACAGCTTAACAGAGACAGCACACTAGCTAGAGGACATGGCAGAACGAAAGTATGATGCTGAATATATTAAACTGCGCAGACCTTGAACTAATGACTAAGAAGAAATCTGGACCCCTTGGCTCGACCATTTGGGAACCACTGATCCAGACTGATAAATAGCACTGCAGGTAAGAGGATAAATATGTATTTTTTATTTTAGAATGAACTGTCCCTTTAAGTAGGTGCTTTGATGCATGAGTCCTAATATTTTACACTTTATTGATACTTTTCCTTTAATAAAATATCTGAATGAAGTCTTCCACCACTGATGTTCAGTGTTTCACATTAAATAGTAATTTCCTTTTAGTCATACATCGCCCAGCCTTCATGGTGAATATTGGTGACATGTGATACTGAAACATTGCTAAAGCTTTTCACCCACGGACCAAAGACCATCACATTCACTGGAGGGGGGGGGGGGAGTAAGACATATGGACTATACATTTTCTGGAGTGCTGTAGCACAGTTTTAGGTACTTTAAATCTTTAATTTCAGAGCTACGAGTGGTTATGGAGTATTTTTAGACTAGTATTACTAATATTACTAAAGGATTGTAGTATTGTCACCTTTGATAGATGATAGACAGAGAGCAGAGAAACACTGCCTCAACAGGTGATGTTTTATTCCACAGCTGATAAAAGACACTGACCAACAGGAATCAGATGCATCATTAACTTCTGCCTCCTGTAACTCCTCCCCTTCAGTCCACTCTCCATTCAGTCTCTGATTCCCTTCTTGCCTTTCAAAGGTTGTTTGCAGCTGACCTTCGGTGGCTCCAGTCTGTGAGAGGAAGAGTAGCAGCCGTCAAACATTACACTTCATCTTCTTCACACTCAGGGACAAGTAGGAGTCGTCTTGTGAAACATGTGCCTCTGTTCTTTATAGGTTTACTGAATTAAACAATCAGTAAATATCTCTAACAGTGAAGTAGGGAAGTGTTGTCACCACATTACTAATTTACCAGAGGAGTTCAACATTAATCAAGGTGAACTATTAACAGTGAGGACATCAGTGTTTTGTTCTTATTAGACTGAAGTCTTTGCTCCTCAGGGTCCATGATGAAGAAGAAGCTGCTGGTGGATGTAGACTGTGGGGTTGACGATGCTCAGGCCATCATGTTGGCGCTGGCCGCCCCCAACGTGGAGCTCCTAGGCGTCACCTGCGTGCACGGAAACACCACAGTGGAGAACGTGTGCAAGAACGCACTGCGAGTTCTGCAAGCCTGCAATAAACTGGAGGTGAGTGCACTGCAGCGCTGTTATTTTCTGTACAGTGTAGTTATTTAAGATCCTGATATGATTCACTGGTTAATAATACAGACCATCATTAATGTGGTTGTTTGAGAGCGTGAGAGGAATTTACTGGTGTCATGTGCGCAGTTCATCAAACTTCCCAACAATGAGTTGTTATTCATGAAGCCACATGACGCGAGGCAGGAACTGCACAAACTACACACTCAGTCTGAGCTCAGTGAGCCTGAGAGAAACAGTGAAAAGTTTGAGTTACGTGAATACATATCAAGACTTCTGCATTTTAATACCAAAACAAATGAGGAATATTCTCTGGTTTTTGTTAGGTGATCTGAAAAAGGAAATGAAACCAAACATTCCAAGTGATATTATATGAAACAAACCCCCTGCTTATAATGTACAGTGTTATTCATAAAGCATCTTGTCTCACTCAGTGGAAAAAAATGGTATACTGCTCAAAAAAATGAAGGGAACACTTTGAGCTGCTTTGGTGTAAATGAAAGTGACAACAGGTGCAATGGAGAGACAACAGGACAACCCCCAAAAAGGGAATGGTTTTACATGTGGTGGCCACAGACAGTTGCTCTCTCCTTATCCTTCCTGACTGATTCTTCCTAGTTTAGTGTTCTGCTAGTGTCCTTGTCACTACTGGTAGCATGAGGTGGTACCTGCAGCCCAGTCAGGTTGCACAGGTAGTCCAGCTCCTCCAGGATGGCACATCCATTTCTTTAGGTGCAAGAAGGTTTACTGTGTCTCCCAGCACAGTCTCAAGAGCATAGAGGAGATACCAGGACACCGGCCGTTACATGAGGAGAGCTGGACAGGACCGTAGAAGAGCATCAACTCAGTAGCAGGACCGTTATCTGCAGGAAGAGCACTGCCAGGGCCCTACAAAATCATGGGCAGTTCCTGGATGAAGAAGACATTGATGCCATTGGCTGGCCCTCTCATTCCCCTGACCTAAATCCAACTGAGCACCTATGGGACATTATGTATCGGTGTATCCAATGCCACCAAGTACCACCACAGACTGTCCAGGAGCTCACTGATGCGCTGATCCAGGTCTGGGAGGTGATCCCCTAGGACACCATACGCCGCCTCATCAGGAGTATACCCAGATGTTGTTAGGAGTGCATACAGGCACGCAGGGGCCACACACACTACTGAGTCACATTCTGAGTTGCTGCGATAAGTTGGATCAGCCTGTGACTTAAATTTTTTACTTTGATTTTCAGTGTGATTTTGAATCCAACCCTCAGTGGGCTGATGATTTTGGTTTCCACTGACCGTTGTTACTTCATTTTGTTCTCAGCAAATTATAGAATAGTACATCAGTGAAGATTTTCAACTTGAATGATTTGTTCATCAGTTCCTGATGTGTGATTCATTCATCATTATATCTTGTAATGTTTTATATTATAATAATTGATAAATAACAGCAGTACATATTCCCTGAGTGTATGTTTCATCTGTTGTGCCCTTTTCTCTTCTCATGTACCAGATTCCAGTCTTTAAAGGTGCAGCTAAGCCGATCCTTGGGAACAGCCTCAGTGCGGGACACTTCCACGGGCAGGATGGGCTGGGAGACACTCCCGACCCCAACGCTCCTGGTCTGGAGTTGGTTCAGAAGGAGGGCGCTGTATCAGCCATGATCAGGATTGTCAATGAAAACCCAGGAGAGGTGAGAGTTGTGACAACGTCCTGCATGTGTAAATATGTGCCGCTTTCATGTCTTCAATGTTTGGGTGTATTCTCCAGGTATCTCTGGTTGCCACGGCACCCCTCACCAACCTGGCTCTGGCTGTGAGGATGGATCCATCTCTACCGAGCAAACTCAGAGGGCTCTACATCATGGGAGGCAACACTGAATGTCGGTAGCGTTATTATTTGTAATTAAATTACCTGAGATGTCAAATACTTCTCCATCAAGTGTTCTCATTATTCTGTCTGAGTGTAATTGCTGGTTTGCTCCTCCAGCTCGAGGAAACACCACAGTGTGTGGTGAGTTCAACTTTGCTGCTGATCCAGAAGCTGCTTACATCGTACTGAACGACTACCAGTGTCCCACCTACTTGGCCTGCTGGGAGTTCACCTGCTACAGCAAGCTGTCCTGGGTAAATGTTCCTTTTATACATTGTAACAAAGATTCTCTCAGTCACCTTGAATTACAAAATGCTCACATTTCATGATGGGATTTTTTGCCCAGTGATGCCAAAATAAAACAGCCTACCCCAGCTTTAATGCGTCAGAGATAAAGTTGCTGCTGTGTGTTTACATTTCTCCTGATGTCCACAGGAGTTTTGCGACGCCTGGTTGGCACAGGACACCAATAAAGCTCGCTTCATGGCTCGGATCTTCCGCCACAGCATTGAGGTATCGCAAAGCGAGCGCTTCGAGAAAGAGTTTGTCGCTGGCATGGGTTTCATTTCCTGTGACTCATACGCCATGGCAGCCGCCGTTGATGATTCATTCATCATGGAGAGCGACCAATATCCAGTGAGTGTGGAGCTGACGGGCACACACACCAGAGGCATGATGGTAGTAGATACTGTGGGCTTCTTGAAGAAGGCGCACAAGGCTTTTATCATGAAGAAGGTGGATTTTAAGAAGTTTGAAGAGATGATGATGGCTGCTTTACAGTAACGAGGCATTAGTGACCATCATGTCCAAGAGTTCTGGCCCAGTTCTCATCAGCTGTGCCTCTTAAGAAGTTTTGGTCTTACAACTCACAATGAGCCATCTCTCTGTTTGTGTTCTCAATAATGAGTCAACATACTGTTTCTAACAAGTGGACTACTGTTCAACTAACTGTAACCTGTAACTGTCTGAAGCAGGATAAAGCAGGACTGAAGACTAATTTTGTTCAAATGTAATATTGATGCTAATGAAGACTTAATACTGTTTGTGTCTACTCAATTGTATGATGTCACCATCATAATTTTTTAAATTTTTATACTAGAAATCTTTTAATGACAGCCCCTATATTAAATATTATATTACATAAAGTTTTTCATAGCACAACACACACACTCATCCATTCAGAAAAAGCTCCAGCCAGTAACAGCTCAAGTTTTTTCAGTGTTACATTTTTCTTTGGTGCATTGTGCGTTCTTAAACATTTGGTAGTTCTTTGTTACCCACTTTCTTGAGACGTGTCCTTTAAATGAGGTTGTAAAGCTGCTCATACACTGACCCACAGACCTTGTTGTGAGCAGTTTCATATAGGAACTGTTCCTTTTTGACAAACTACACTCAGACGAAAGGCTCATGCTCGTGACAGTGCCAGATGTAAACATTAATGGCGTCCTCCTTGGCTGAGCTGTGACGTTAGCTAGCTCAGTGGTGCTAGGTGAGCTGCACACTGATACAGTTGGTGGGTGTAATTCAATAGAGAGAAAATAGTTCCAACATGAAACTGCTCACAGTAAGGTCTGTGCTCTATGTTGATTACCCAGGTCAGAATATACATGATTGTTTTTTTTTGTTGTTGTTTTTTTTATGGTGTATATGTTGTAATGGGTATCAGGTCTCAAGGGGTAATTAGTGGTCATCATCACCACTGTATATGGTAGCAACCTGTCTTTGTCTGATCAGGTGTTCCACCCCGAAGGAAAAACAGTTTTTGACTGCTGAAGCAGCTTGTTACTGTGGGAGTTGCACATATTGTTGTTTTTTGACTAGTATTGGAAACATGTTCGAGTTCAATGGACACTGACAAGTTTGTGATGGAAAATAAATGGACAAAGTCTTCAACTAGCAAGTTTGACTCAGAGTTTGATTCATCAGACACATTAACAATCAGATCAACTTACACCAATTTTTTATTTTAAATTTAAACTGTCCCTTAAGTAAGTGCTTGAATGCAGGAGTCTTTTAGTATTTTACACTTAAGTACTAATACTTTTCCTTTAGTAAAATATCTGAATGAAGACTTCCACCATTGGTGTCCAGTGTTCACCATGAAATAGTTTTCTTTTAGTCATACATTGCCCAGCCTTCATGGTGAATATTGGTGACGTGATACTGAAACATTGCTAAAGCTTTTCACCCACAGACCAAAGCATCACAGTCATTGGGAGGAAAGAGTAAGACATATAGACAGTACATCTTCTGGAGTACTGAAGCACAGTTTTAGGTACTTTAAATTTTAATTTCAGAACTACAAGTATTTTAGGCTGTAATATTACTAAAGTAAAGGATTGTAGTGTTGTCACCTTTGAGAGATGCTGTAAATACACTTATTTATGAATACATTTTAATGTCAACATCTTCTGAAAGCAGTCTTCAAATCTGGCAACAAGGAACTGTACAGCACTGCCAGACACAACCTCAAGAGAGGAGAAGATTACAAGGAGAAGATTGAGGATCACTTCACCTCCATGTAGGTGGCATGACATTCATCAGATAACCTACTTCAGAGGCAGCAGAGACTCACCAACAGCATGCGGCCCCATGCTGGCTAATGAATTGAACCGCTTCTTTGCCTGCTTTGAGAGAAGCGACACAAGACACAAGAGGTTAAGCGGGTCCTGAGAACTGTGGATGCCAATAAGGCAGCTGGACCAGATGGGATCCAAGGAAGAGCTCTCCGGGACTGCGCACATGAGCTCGCAGAGGTTTTCACTGACATCTTTAACCTCTCACTGGTACCAGCCTGCCTGAAAACAGCCACCATTATCCCAGTGCCCAAGCAGTTCAACATCACCTCCTTGAATGATTATAGACCAGTGGCACTCACACCCATCATATCCAAGTGCTTCGAAAGACTCGTCCTGGGACACATCAAGTCCACACTCCCTCCCACCTGAGACCCACATCAATATGCATACAGACGAAGGAGATCCTCAGAGGATGCAGAAGGGCATGTACTTAAGGATGCTCTTTGTTGATTACAGTTCTGCTGCTAACACCATTGTCCCCAGCAGGCTGGTCACAAAGATGCGAAGCCTTGGTCTCAGCTACCAACTGTGCCTGTGGATTAAGGACTTGCTCAGAGACCGCTCACAATCAGTGAAACTGGGTACTTGCATCTCTTCAACCCTGACCCTCAGCACTGGCGCACCACAAGGCTGCGTACTGGGTCCCCTCCTATACTCCCTCTACGCGTATGACTGCACATCAGCTCACCCCACAAACTCAATAACCAAGTTTGCAGACGACACAACAGTGGTGGGCTCATCTCAAACTGGCTGACTGTGTGGTGTGCAGACAACAACCTGTCTCTCAACATCAAGAAGACAAAGGAGCTAATTATAGACTTCAGGCGACATCAGGAAAAGCTCCTGCCACTGACAATAGGGGGAGAGGAGGTGGAGAGGGTGCCCAACTTTAAATTCCTGGGCCTCCACGTCAGCAAGGACCTCAAGTGGTCTGTCAACTCTGCTGCTCTGGTCAAGAAGGCCCAACAGAGACTTTACTTCCTCAGAACCCTGAGGAAGGTCCAACTCTCTGCCAGACGGCTGAAGTCTTTCTACCATTGCACCCACCCCTTTCATGAACTGTTTGCAACATTTCCATCTGGAAGATGCTATAGAGCTTTAAAGACTTGTACTTCCAGATTCAGAAACAGCTTCTACCCAACAGCCATCTATGAACTGAACTCCCACCCCCTTCCACAGGCACTTCATCAGACATTATTTTTATTCTAAGCACACTGCACTTTGCTCTGTTTTATGTAATTACATTTTATACTATATAGGTTACTTATCTACTGTTCTTTTTATAGGCCACTTATCCTACTGTTTTTTTTTATGTGTTTGTGTGCCTGTGTGAGTGCATGACAGAATACAGTTCTCCTCAGAGACAACAAATTTTGTTGTATGCTACATGCAATGACAATAAAGGCATTCTATTCTAAAAGACACTGACCAACAAGAGTCAGATGCATCATTAACTTCTGCCTCCTGTAACTCCTCCCCTTCAGTCCACTCTCCATTCAGTCTCTGATTCCCTTCTTGCCGTTCAAAGGTTGTTTGCAGCTGACCGTCGGTGGCTCCAGTCCGTGAGAGGAAGAGTAGCAGCTGTCAAACACTACAGTTGGTCTTCTTCACACTCAGGGACAGGTAGGAGTCGTCTTGTGAAACATGTGCCTCTGTTCTTTATAGGTTTACTGAATTAAACAACCAGTAAATATCTCTACAGTGAAGTAGGGAAGTGTTGTCACCACATTACTAATTTACCAGAGGAGTTTAAAAGTGGTCAAAGTGCACAACAGTTTGTTCTTATTAGACTGAAGTCTTTGCTCCTCAGGGTCCATGATGAAGAAGAAGCTGCTGGTGGATGTAGACTGTGGGGTTGACGATGCTCAGGCCATCATGTTGGCGCTGGCCGCCCCCAACGTGGAGCTCCTAGGCGTCACCTGCGTGCACGGAAACACCACAGTGGAGAATGTGTGCAAGAATACACTGCGAGTTCTGCAGGCCTGCAATAAACTGGAGGTGAGTGCACTGCAGTGCTGTCGTTCTCTGTACAGTGTAGTTATTTAAGATCCTGATATGATTTACTGGTTAAAGCCACATGACGCAAGGCAGGAACTGCACAAACTACACACTCAGTCTGAGCTCAGTGAGCCTGAGAAACACAGTGAAAAGTTTGAGTTACGTGAATACATATCAAGACTTCTGCATTTTAATACCAAAAGAAATGAGTAATATTCTCTGGTTTTTGTTTGTTTGTTTGTCCAGTTTTGGTGAGCCTGTGTGAACTGTAGCCTCAGTTTCCTGTTGTTAGCTGACAGGAGTGGCACCTGGTGTGGTCTTCTGCTGCTGTAGCCCATCTGCTTCAAGGTTGGACGTGTTGTTGGTTCAGAGATGGTCTTCTGCAGACCTTGGTTGTAACCAGTGGTTATTTGAGTTACTGTTGCCTTTCTACCATCTTGAACCAGTCTGGCCATTCTCCTCTGACCTCTGGCATCAACAAGGCATTTTCACCCAGAGAACTGCTGCTCACTGGATATTTTCTCTTGTTCGGACCATCCTCTGTAAACCCTAGAGATGGTTGTGTGTGAAAATCCCAGTAGATTAGTTAACTTACTCACTTAATATGTATATGTACATGTAATCTTATTCATTGTAGTTAACAAATTCCCATTTAAATTTAGTACATATCAACATATCTTGTCATTTGTGACATTATATTAACAGATAAATAACATCAGTACAGCATTTTCGCTTGTGATATGTTTCATCTGTTGTGCTCTTTTCTCTTCTCATGTACAGATTCCAGTCTTTAAAGGTGCAGCTAAGCCAGTCCTTGGGAACAGCCTCAGTGCGGGACACTTCCATGGACAGGACGGGCTGGGAGACACTCCTGACCCCAACGTTCCTGGTCTGGAGCTGGTTCAGAAGGAGGGCGCTGTATCAGCCATGATCAGGATTGTCAATGAAAACCCAGGAGAGGTGAGAGTTGTGACGTCCTGCATGTGTAAATATGTGCCGCTTTCATGTCTTCAATGTTTGGGTGTATTCTCCAGGTATCTCTGGTTGCCACGGCACCCCTCACCAACCTGGCTCTGGCTGTGAGGATGGATCCATCTCTACCGAGTAAACTCAGAGGGCTCTACATCATGGGAGGCAACACTGAATGTCAGTGAAATCATCAGACCACCTCAGAGTTTAAAACCTCTTCCATCAAGTGTTCTTATTATTCTGTCTACATCCTGTCAAGGTGGAGTTCAGAGTGTAATCGCTGGTTTGCTCCTCCAGCTCGAGGAAACACCACAGTGTGTGGTGAGTTCAACTTTGCTGCTGATCCAGAAGCTGCTTACATCGTACTGAACGACTACCAGTGTCCCACCTACTTGGCCTGCTGGGAGTTCACCTGCTACAGCAAGCTGTCCTGGGTAAATGTTCCTTTTATACATTGTAACAAAGATTCTCTCAGTCACCTTGAATTACAAAATGCTCACATTTCATGATGGGATTTTTTGCCCAGTGATGCCAAAATAAAACAGCCTACCCCAGCTTTAATGTGTCAGAGATAAAGTTGCTGCTGTGTGTTTACATTTCTCCTGATGTCCACAGGAGTTTTGCGACGCCTGGTTGGCACAGGACACCAATAAGGCTCGCTTCATGGCTCGGATCTTCCGCCACAGCATTGAGGTGTCGCAAAGCGAGTGCTTCGAGAAAGAGTTTGTCGCTGGCATGGGTTTCATTTCCTGTGACTCATACGCCATGGCAGCCGCCGTAGACGATTCATTCATCATGGAGAGCGACCAATATCCAGTGAGCGTGGAGCTGACGGGCACACACACCAGAGGCATGATGATAGTAGATACTGTGGGCTTCCTGAAGAAGGCGCACAAGGTTTTTATCATGAAGAAGGTGGATATGAAGAAGTTTGAACGGATGATGATGGCTGCTTTACAGTAACGAGGCATTAGTGACCACCATGTCACCGTTTGCATCCACTAATTTTGGATCAGTTTTCTTCAGCTGTACCTCATAAGAAGTTTTGGTTTACAATTCACAATGAGCCATTTCTCTGTTTGTGTTCTCAATACTGAGCCATCGTACTGTTTATAACTACTACTGTTCAACTAACTGTAACCTGTAAATGTCTGTAGCAGGACTTGAGTCTAATTTTGTACAATGTAATGTTGATGCTCATGGAAGACTTACTACTGTTTGCGTTTACCTCAATTGTATGATGTCACCATTATAAAAGACAGACAGTTTCAGACAGTTCCTTTATTAAATTAAAAAAAAAAAACTCTTTACATTTTATTCGTTATTAGTTTTTCATAGCACAGCACACACAGTCATTAATTTAGAAAAAGCTCCAGCCAGTGACAGCTCGTTTTTTTCAGTGTTACATTTTGCTGATGAGTTGGTAATCCTTTTGTGCGTCAGTGTGTGTTCTTCTTACACACTTTCTTGACACATGTCCTTAAGAAAGGTTGTGAAGCTGCTCATACACTGACCGGTGAGTATTTGCAGTTGCTCATCCAGTATTCACTCAACCACACGGCAACATCCGCGTTCAGATGGGATCCTCAATATCCTTTCCTTCCTCTGAATCTTGACCTTGTGTCCAGCTGTCAAAAGAGGACAGACATCGGTTAGTGTGCAACATCACTATGAGAAAACACATCTCACAGACATACCAGGAAAGAGGAAGATTGCTCTTCCACTTCCCATTTGATTCCCAGATGTACAAATACTTTCAAAAGTGCAGTGTAATTACAGCGGACTTACCATTGACCTCTTGCACTCAAAGAAGGATGTCTGCAGGGCTTTGCAGTGGCCTTCCTTCAAACACTCACTGGGCATCTTCCCCTCCTGACAAATTAAGAAACCAGTTAGAAAACACTGGGCGTGTCCCATGAGCAAAATGTGCAGCCCCTCCCACTTAAGAAGCAGCGTAATATGGACAGATAAATCTAATATACAGTTATAGACCCCAACGGGTGTCTGCATCAGTGGCTTCCAGGACTATCACTTGAAGGCCTAGTGTGCAGGATTAAGTTTCATCTAGCAGAGAGGTTGCAGAACTGAAACCTCTCCTGTATGCCAAGTGTGTAGGAGAAGTACAGGGGCTGACGTGAAAACACAAAAAAGCAAATGGTCCTAGAGCCAGTGTTTTATTTGTCCGTTCTGGGCTTCTGTAGAAACATGGCAAACTCTGTGGAAGGGGACTCGCTCCATATGTAGATATGAGTGGCTCATTTTAAAACACTGATTTTAAACAAAAATGTAGTCCTACTAAACGACACAGGACAATATTTTGAGCTCTATTTGAGTTCTGTTAAAACAAGAATTAACAATGATCATAGTAACACATATTTGGCACAAACGTTCACATGGATTCAACGATTAACTGACAAGTTTTTATTAGTCAAAGGTCAAATTTATGTGACCTCATTTGTCTCATTCTTGGGAACATCGAATCACAAGAATACCTCAAGGGAATTTCTTCAAATTTGGCACAAATGTTCACTTGGACTCAACGATTAACTGGCAAGTTTTTAGTAGTCAAAGGTCAAGTTTATGTGACCTCATTTGTCTCATTCTTGTGAACCTGATACCTCAAGAACACCATGAGGGAATTTCTTCAAATTTGGCACAAACGTTCACTTGGACACAACGATTAACTGGCAAGTTTTTAGTAGTCAAAGGTCAAGTTTATGTGACCTCATTTGTCTCATTCTTGGGAAAGTTGAATCACAAGAATACCTCAAGGGAATTTCTTAAAATTTGGCACAAATGGACTCAATGATTCAACAATGAATTGATTAGTTTTTGGTGGTCATAGGTCAGTGTGACCTCACAAAATATGTTTTTGGCTATACTCAAGAATTCATATTCGAATTTTGACAATATTTCACACAAACGTCTAATGGGATATTATAACGAAGTGATTACGTTTTCTATCCAAAAGGTCAAAGGTCGGGGCGCCCAGTGGCTCAGTAGGTAGAGCAGGCACCCCATGTACAAAGGCAGTGTCCTTCCAGCCAGCTGCACGTCACCCTTTCTCCCTGTTTCATACTTCCAACTGTCCTCACAAAAGCCCCCAAGAAATCTTTAAAGAAAGGGTCAAAGGTCAGCTTCACTGTGACATCATAATGTTCTGCATAAAACACGTTTTTGGTCATTATTCAAAGCAGTATCGCAGGAACAGAAGGGGAAATGTTTTATCAGATATTTAATTGGTGGCACTCATCTTGAAACTGTGCTGACTGTATAGATCTCCTGTGCTGTCGGGGGGACAACGGGTGTGAAGGGGACATGTTTTCACAGACATGAATGTAAACTGTCAGAGAAACTTGAATGTTGCGCGGAGGGATACACCCGGTAAATCTAGTATTAGTCTGTCGTTACATCAGAGGTGAAGGGTTGGTCCTATGTGTGACTTCAGCGCTGTTACAGGGATGACGGAGTTACCAGGCGTTTACAGTTGACTGTTGTTACACACCTGTACTTCAGACGTTACTAGCAGAGGACGTTTACGTACCTTTACTACGCAGTCGTGTTGAAGGAGACAGGCTTTAAAGTCCTCTCTGATACCGGCACAGGCTCTGGTATCTTCCTCTTTGTCCTCATAATACTTCGGCATCGTGTAGAATAAACTTTAACAACAATATTCACTCATTCATAAACTCATAAGAGCAAGAAACGGCTGGTTATCAGCAGTGACATCGAAGTTATGTTTCAACCGCCATCTTTGTAGAACTGCATGACGGGAAAGCGGAAGTACTCGGCACAGCGAAGTGTATGCTGGGAAGTGTAGTTTTTCCTGTATGTACTGTTTAAAAGCGTTAAAAGGCTAAATAAAATTATTTTTCTGGTCATTTTTGCAATAAATTTTCTTTACTTTCACCCAGCTGGTCTGAAATCAACCCTGGTGATGCAGATGGCATGAGTGACACAGGAAGAACAAAATCACAACACAGAAAAATGGCCATGAATTCTACCAACTTTTATAGTTTATTTCAAAGATGTCCATGAAAAATGATGTCAAAAACATCAGAGGCAGGCATACACATGTACATGATGAAGGCACATGAACTGATGGGTGTATAGGGGTTATCGATTAAGGAAAGAGTTCCTTTTTCTTTTTTCTTTTTTGGTCTCCAGTCCACTTTCCACAAATACAGTAGGGGGATCAGAGGGATCACATGACCTGTTCATGCTGTCTGCATGCATTCAGTTTCTGTTTGTATGTGGATCCAGGACAACAGGGAGAAGCAAATCCTGTTAGCAGTACTGAACGTGTCTTTCTCCTCTCAAAACAACATGTCCCACCATTTAAGTGGCCTCCTCTCATCTTCTCCCAATAACAAAAATAATAATCTGATGAACAGGTGACGAACAAGCTACTTCATCTTTCTTGAGTACAGCTTTAGCGAGATGGTTTGATCAGGGGGTGGAGGAGCCTGCTCTGACCAAATACACTGTTTATAAATTACAAATAATAATCATGCACTTAAACAAGATTAGCAAAATGCCCCATCTTCATGTCAATTCCACCAAAAGGCACTTCACTACCCCCGTGACTAAACCACCAAGATGTAAAATGAGTGAATCAAAAATAGCTTCCACTCAGAACATTGGCCACACACACAAACACAAAACATGTCAAGTGAATTTCAACAAACTATTAAATGAGGCAGGACAGATAGAAAGAGTGAGGGAAAGAAAGAGATAATGTTCATTGCTTTTTTTATATATATATATATATATATTTACAATCAGTGAAAGTACTACACAACCTCAGCCAAATCATACAACAAAAGGCGCACTCTGCAGTGATCAGTAGTCATAATATTCTGTCCAGTGGGAAAACAGATACTTGGACAAAATAGATCGTTATGTAGATTTGGAGGAGTCAGTGAAAATGAGCATCTAGCGTGGGAAGATGGGAAATTTAAGTACAATGGTGAAGGGTGTGATGGTAACAAAAAAAATAGTGAAAAAGCAGTGCAAATCACGCTGTTTTCAGATGGTAACCTGGTACAAATCCCCCGTCTCTCTTCTTTTACCAATCTACACAGATATTGTTCTAAACATCCAATCACTAATTGGACTGTGTGTGTCATTTTAAAAATGTTAGTTTATCAGCAATCAAAGTGTAGGCAAGAGTGAGAGATTGGAATAATGTTGCTGAGACAATTTCAAGGGACCTGGATATAAGGCACAATTTCTCCAATTTTGACCCACAACTACGTCAACAGAATCTATTCACAACTCTCCTTTGTAAGAAGTAAATTAATACTTTTAGTTGTAACGTTTCAAGTGAAAAGAAACCGGTACAGACTGAACCGAGCTGCTCACACCAACTTCATGAGCAGCTGTAAAAACGAACAGAAAATGTACAATAGCAATTTAGAAAAACAAAACAGTACACAAATAAAACAGACTCTGAACTACCATAAACATCTCTTAATAGAATAAAAATATATTTTACCTCTTGTACAAATTAAAGATTTATTTCAAATAAATTAAGTCACCTTCATAGATCGTCATAGCTGTAATAATATATCAATATAACAATATATTCCTTCGGGAAAATGATGCCAAGGCAATGTCTGATTGGTTTACTATAAATGGACACTGAGGTCATACACGGCCTGTCAGACACGAGGTGAGATAGATATGGTGTCATGGTACTTATTTTCTTGATGGATTGGGGTAGTTACCACGAAATCTGGCCTACAGTATGGTCAACGTTGTCACTGACTGGCTACAGGCAGGATTTTGGAAGCTCATCCTGAGTTTGTGTTTCAGGAGGAGTGGAGTATTCGAGAGTGGCTGACAATACTCTGGGACTGAGGGAAACATTGTTGCTTGGGCTGGTGTTGATCTAGAGCTCCGTCATCTCTGTCGAGAACGAGGGCAACTGGCCACTAGTGATGACAACATTCTTGATCATCTTGGGCTTCTGCTGAGGCGCTAGTGACAGTGCAATGCCCCAGCGTGCCCGAAGGTGGCAGCATTGAGTAACAGAGGAGGATTTGGCAGCATCTACACCAGTGGCCAGGTGACTGGTTCTCCCCCAGATGTGATGATTTGTCCTCCTTCGTCCGAGCGGTTTCTGATTGGGTTCAAAGCTGCTGAGCAAACACAGTCACTTTGAGAGCCAGAGCTGGGAACAGATGTCATCACACACTCCGCTGTTGTTCTTTAGGACAGTAGTATTCACATTCTCACAAATGAATTAAGAGCACAAGAGTGAGGGGAGGGATGCAGAAAGAAATGGAGAAATCGATTGATGAGAAGCAAAACAAAGTACATTAGGGAAAGAGCGGGGGACAGAGAGGTGGCGTTCCTCGGACAAGCTCAGACGAGCAACTCTAGTGGGCTCTAATGACTTCACTGCTGGTTGCTAGGTGCCAGAGGCCCTGCGTAAGCAGTCTAGGAGATTTTGGTCCCCCAGGGGCCATGATTCATGTGCCCGCTCCAGAGCAGTCAGCCGGCTATCCTCTTTATATGGATCTGCAGGAGGAGAGCAGAGCATCACTTGTGTTATTGATGATAAAAAATGAGGCAGCATGTGTCCGCAGCAAGTTGTCTCTATCATTTGATTGGACAGTCGTGGTGTGTGACTGGCTTACTTCACTGAGGATGGCCCAAACTGCTGAGTCTTTGAGAACAGTAAGTCGAAGTGCCATGATAGGATTGAAGGCAGGGTCCACAGCTCCCTCTGCCACACCCTTCTCAAACTGACCTGTGTTGAAGCACACACACACACACACACACACACACACACACACAAGCATATATGAAGCACTTTGAACCTTATCTATAGGGAGTGCACTGCCAATAATTAACAAGTCACAGGTGCTGAATGGAGAAAAAACATCAACTCACTGAAAGAATTTGAACTTTATTCAACCATCATGTTATAGCTCAAGGCCTTTATCATTTTTTGTTTATTTTTAAAGGTCCAGTTTGTAGTTTAGGGAGATGTTCTGGCAGAAATGGAATATAATATCGGGTTGGGAGAGAGTTACTGCCTCAAGTGAGGGAGTTCAAAGTATCTCGGGGTCTTGCTCACAAGTGAGGGTTGAATGGAGCATGAGATGGATCAGCAGTCATCCATTGTGGTGAAAAGGGAGCTAAGCCAGAAGGCAAAGCTTTCGATTTAATGGTCCATCTACGTCCCAACCCTCACCTATGGTCATGAGCTCTGGGTAGTGACCGAAAGATTGAGATCATGGATACAAGTGGCCGAGTTTCCTCTGTGGGGTGGCTGGGCTCAGCCTTAGAGATAGGGTAAGGAGCTTGGACATCCGGAGGGAGCTTGGAGTGGAGCCGCTGCTCCTTCGCGACGAAAGGGGGCAGTTGAGGTGGTTCGGGCATCTGATCAGGATGCGTCCTGGGCGCCTCCTGTTAGAGGTGTTCCAGGCATGTCCCACTGGTAGGAGGCCCCGGGGCAGACCCAAAACATGCTGGAGGGATTATATATCTCATCTGGCCTGGGAACACCTTGGGGTCCCCCAGGAGGAGCTGGAAAGCGTTGCTGGGGAGAGGGACGTCCGGGGTGCTTTGTTCGGCCTGCTGCCCCCTCAACCCCGCCCGGATAAGCGCATGAAAATAGATGGATGGAATATAATAGGTTTGTTTTCTTAAGATTGGATTCACCAGAAAATAAGATTCAGTGTGTTTTCGTCACCTTAAAATGAGTCGTTTATATCTACATACGGAGTAGGTCCTCTTCCACAGACATGTTTCTACAGTAGCCAACATGGACAAAGCAAATACAGGCTCTATATAGGTCCATTTGCATTTTGCATTTTTGTGTCGGCCACTGTAGTTCTCCTACACGCTAGGCTCATGGAGGAAGTTTAAGTTGGTTGCAATGTGCAAACTCAGCTGCTAGATGTCACAAAATCCTATACACTAGACCTTAAAGAAATTACATCTACAAAGAAAAAGTAACAAAAAAAGCTAATTAGGAAAATTCAGCAGAAGAATAAAAAGGGGAAAATGGCTGCAGGACAAGCAGAAAACTTCAGATGAAAACTGAATGGTATAAATAGAAAAGAAGGCTGTAACTGAGAACATTACACACACTTTGTACACTGTTACTGTAGGCACCATCACTGTGAGTGTGCAATCTGATCACGATGTTTCAGTGTTTGTACGCACACGCACACACACACACACACACACACACACACACACACACACACACACACATTAGGCATCAACTCCACTTACCAATCCTGTAAAAGCGGTCTTCAGTCCGTTTGTACTTCTCTTTGGTCGGCAGTCCAGGCTCCTAACACATGAACACAGTAAGAGGTGGACGGTCGGGTGAAATATGAGACACAAATCAAAATGCTAATGATTTCTCATTTGAGCAGCACTTAAACAGATGCTAGCATCTGCGCTTGCACTGGGAGTGTGAATCACAACGTGAGAATGTATCGCCTCTGGCAGAGCAAACGATTCTGTCACGCTCACATTCCTGTCAATAATCAATATGCTACGTCCCAAAGAGCAGCCACTCAATGTAATCTAATCAAAACCGTTTGCACAGCACACCACAGACGGTTGACAGACTCTGTGTGTGTGTGTGTGTGTGTGTGTGTGTGTGTGTGTGTGTGTGCGCGTGTGTGTGTTTCCCTACCGAAACAGGCAGTATTTCCACTGTGGTGTTCTCGATCTTGTCTCCTGGGTGCTCTTGGTTACCACTGCGAAACAGGAACCTGCCGATCAAATCAGGCATTCATTTCA